CACTTCAGTATTTTACTTTAACCTCTTCTGTCTTAATTAATACAGGTCACACTCTGACTGATCACTCCTTATACACAATCTCTCTGCCTCACAACCCCAAAGACTCTTTCTCTCCTCTCTGTCTCTCTGACTGAACTAACTAGACTCAGACTCATCCCTCCCTTCCAGTTTCTCTGGCTCCGCCTCCCAACAGCTCTCAATGGTACATACCAATAATCTTCTACCTGAGCGAAAGCAGGGTGATCGAAAGCAGGGTGATCACTACACTCACCATCAGTCTTTCAACCTGGGACTGCTACAACTAGTAGCAACCAGTAGTGCTACATCTAGTGTGGCAGCTGTGACCCCTTCTGGACACAGAAACTCCTGTTCAGAAATCTCTATAGAGGTGAGAAACAGACCTGTCACTGCTCAGTATATTATTACTGTACCTTGTTTCCCTGAAAATACAAGCAGTATATTATTAATAATACACATTGTTATGCTGTTTTAAATGTGTTTTAGTACTGGTTTTATTTACCATTTTAATATACAGTAATACTTGTTTAATTCTTTTTAAACATTTGTATACTTAGCGTTTTTAGCTTTCACATACAGTACTGTCTTTTTAATGATGCAGTCTGCCTTGATTCCTTTCTAAGGAGAGAGGCAGGATAAAAAATATTTTAAATAAATAAATACATTTGTATTTGCTACCAGATGAAGCAGGCAAAACCCAATAGAGACAGCTACTTCTCCCTCAGCACCCAACCGGCTCTCTGTTGTCCAGGCCAGGTCAGTCCTTTTGTCCACAATCAGGTCAGCAATCTGTTGGGACTTATTTTGGACTGACTGGGCATTCAGCAACAAAAGGGGCCGAGTGGAAGGCACCGGACGGAGCTGGTTACCCTGCACGGGTCCAGATGAGGGAACGTCAGAACCCGGCATTGGAACCAAATAGCAAGCCCGGATTCTCCCGAAATGGCCAGCATTCCCTCCAGCACCACATTATTTATTAGTACTTTTATTTACAGTATATGCCGCATTTCTCCCAACAAAGGGACCTAAGGTGGCTCACAGCATTAAAATTCACACAATTAAAAGACAATAAGTTAAATATTAAAAGACAAATTAAACAGTACATTATTTAAAATAAAATTAAAAGATTAAAACATGTGAACGTGGATGTTGAGAACAGATCCTGCCCACCCTCTGAATGGCAGCCTTTCAAGTATTTGAAATGTGCTATCATATTTATCAGTTTTATTTATTAGTTTTATTTATATGCCACATTTCTCCCAACAAGGGACTCAAAGCAGCTCACAACATTAAAATTCACACAATTTTAAAACACAATAAGTTAAATATTAAAAGATAAATTAAACAATATATGACTTAACATCCAATTAAAACATGGAAACATGGAAAAGATTTAAATTATCTGCTAAAATGGGGTTCAGGGATTC